AATTTTATTCCCCTGCTATCAAAATTTAATTACTTCCCTTTTATATAATATTGCATTCTCTTGTAGCTAATATTTAATCATTTTGATTCAACCGAAATAAAATTCTGTTAGCTTGCTATTAATATTTAATAATTTCTTTTCGAATTCGTTTAATACTATTAATACTTAATTATTCCTTTTTAACCGAAATACAATTTTATTCACCTGCTACTAATATTTCATCATTCCATTTTCATGATATCCGTAAATGTTATATTATAAAATTATTATTATTATTATTATTATGTTATTTTTTATTATCCGTGAATGTTAGCAACTGGACAAATTGAATGCAGCGGTCAAGGAAAAGCGACCAGAATTGGTCAATCGTAAAGGTGTCATTTTCCAGCAGGACAATGCTAGGCCGCACGCGTCTTTGACCACTCGGCAAAAATTGATGGATATTTGTTGGGAATTGATGTTACACCCACCATATAGCCCTGATCTCGCGCCATCGGATTACCACTTATTTCGATCCCTGCACAACTCCCTTCGTGGTAAAACTTTTAACGATGACGACGCTGTAAAATCTCACTTAACTCAGTTTTTGGCCGAAAAGGATCAAACTTTCTACGAGCGTGGAATTTTCAAGTTGTCGGAGAGATGGCAAAAGGTCATCGAACAAAATGGAAAATACATTGCAGATTAAACCTCGTTCCAAGTAAAACAAAATTTGTTGTTTCATCGAACAAATCGGCAATTACTTAGTTGCCAACCCAATAATACCGTGGACAATATTAACCCTTTGCAGTCGAAGCTTGTATGTGCGCGTTGTTTCCAAATGGAATTAAGTTGAACGAAGTCGCTGGTTGCTTTTATGTACACTTTAATAATATTACAGTACAGCTATGTTGTTAGCGATGCGTTATTTGCGTTCTATCTGCGTTCTTAGAGTTCTACGATTTCTGGGAGTTCTAACAGTTCTGACTAACGTTCTAGGTGCCCTTCCGCTTGTCACCTCGGTTTTTTTGTTGATTGGTGGATGGTGGGTTTTGGTGGAGGAAATGAAGCGTTTTTGATTGGAGATGGGTGTGTCGGAAGGAACTTGAAATGAGGAGTGGGAAACTGTTCGAAAGTTCGGGTTGTAATTTTTCCGCTTTGTGAAATATGGAATTTATGAGTCTGTCGCACGTGTTGTCCGTTCGTCGGGTCGAAGGGTATTTTCGTTCGGATGCATTTTTTACTGTCGCAGGTATATTGCTTAATTGCTCAAGGGATGGCCAGGGACGTTCGACCTTCGGTGTTGCCGTCGCAACAAAGCTGTTTCAATTCGAGATCCAAAACATGTTTTCTGATCTACAGTATTTCCATTTATATGATTCAGTACGATTTATTCGTATGAAGTTGAGCCTATTGGCACGTGGAATAATTGCAATTTTAACAGTTCTTTCTACATATAAACGAATCTATTTATTAATTTAATTTTAATTTTATTTATTTTATTTAGAAAAGTAGTATAACAATTTTTAGTGGCGCCTCCGAGTCGCCACTCGAGTGCAAAGAGTTAATACGTTCGCGCGAATTTGAACTTGATTTACGTAAGTAACACTTTGATCATTTCGAAATGTTCATCTTCTCGCAGGGACGTGGTGCGCCTCGAAAGACCAGATCTCGAATCGATGAGAAACGATTTGATAACGAAGATCAACGCCGACAAGGGCCAGCTGCAGAGCATCGAGGATAGAATACTAACGCTGTTGTACGGCGCCGGTGACGATATTCTGGACAACGAGGATCTGATCGAAACTCTGAACGACAGCAAGGAAACCTCCGCGATCATCGCAACGAGACTGATCGAGAGCGAGGCTACCGAAGGGAAGATCTCCGAAGCGCGTGAAAAATATCGATCGGTAGCGAATCGTGGATCCGTCCTCTTCTTCGTCGTGGCCGATCTTGCGAATATAGATCCTATGTACCAATTCTCGCTGAAGTATTTCAATCAGGTAAACACACACACACACACACACACACACACACACACACACACACACACGCACGCACGCACACACACACACAAAATTCTCCTACAAGTTGTGCAGATGAATTTTGTCGTCACCTTCCATTCTTCTTCCTCGTTAGATATTTAATTTAGTAATCGACTCAACCGAAAAGGATGACAATCTAGCCAGACGACTGCAAAATCTCCTCATCGAGATAACATTGGCCATTTATACGAACGTTTCGCGGGGTCTATTTGAAAAGCACAAATTAATTTTCAGTTTTATGCTGAATATCGCAATATTCATGAACGAGAAAATAATCAACCAGGCCCAATGGAATTTTATGTTGCGGGGTGCCACCCGAATCAGTGTAGTGAGTCGAATTTTAATATTATACGCATTGGGTTGTTGCAACAGTAATTTCGGTTTCCCAAATGGATAGCTTACAAAAAATCGACATTACTTTTGCAACAAGCCGATAGAATTCTGATTGTACATATGTATGTATACGGTTTGCTTGGAACCTAAATCAGTGCCGTTACTATACCATTAATCGTTTCAACCATGATTTGGAAATTAAGTGGTTGAAAGAACATTCTGAGAGGACAAACAAGTTCAGGAGATTTTTCTGCATTTGTATCATGCCCAAACAAATTTCGTTTATCATTTCAAATATTGCAATAAAATATTATGTAAAATCCGGCAAGATCAACTGCTGTATCGGCGATGGTGACGCCTCTTATGGGGGGAAAATAAAGCTCTGTTCGATATGCGTACAGCGCCAATTGGAATAGTAGCAAAAAACTCAAACTGTTAGCCAAAATCGACTGTTGGTTATAAATACATAACACGTAATATAAACGCAGGAGTGCTTCCTGAATATTTGTATACACTTAGAATATTTGTTTGACCCTTAAATTGGCAAATTTCATGTTATTTTTATTTATTCCTTATATGTATTCCTTACAGCAAGAATCATTTGTAGCTGTAACAAATATTCTATTTTCTGTTAATTTATAACTGTAAATAAACTTTTATGACATAATATAGATGCAGAAAATTTCTCTGGATATTTCAATGCCCTAAAAATATTTGTTGGACCTTCATATTGCTAGAATTTATCCAATATTTTAATCAAATAAAATGATGATAATAAAGAAGGAAATAAAGTCGTCTCGGTTTTCTAATCGTGCCGGATAATCAAATTGTACCGCGTACAATGTAAAAGTTCTTCAAACAGGATACTGTTCTTTAAACAGGCTGACAGACCAGATATCCCGACATTGACGATCCAAATGTGGACCTTCGTCAACTATTTAGCTGCTACTTTCCCAGTTTTCAAAAATATTCTGAACGACGTTTTCAAGAAAATTCCATTAACAATTGGATATTTCCAAGAAGTGAGGCCCGCTTTTTATTGGTTTTAAACAGATCTAGATCGCGCAAGCATATAAGTAATCATCGCATAAACTGTATTATTGTTTTTAGGTGATCAACGTAATTCCGACAAACGCAAGTAGTGCAACCAACAATTGGAACAATCTACTGTCCGACATAGAAAAGTTGATGCTGTTGAAAGCTTTGAAGGAAGATCAATTGATCTTTGCGATCACGGCGTTCGTGGCGAAGAATCTCGGTCAGAAATTCGTGGAATCGCCAATGGCTGCAATGCCGCTCTTGTACTATCGTTTTAATTATATATATAATTTCCATTTCTATGAAAATTATTTTTCATAATAAGAAAAAAAATATTAGCCCTTTGATCGATGGATCAATTCGACAATTTCTGTTTTAGATTCGCCAACACGTCGAACAAAATACCTCTGGTGTTCATCCTGACCACCGGATCGGATCCTTTCAGCGGTTTTCTAAGATTCGCGGCCGAGATGAATTTCTCCGACAGATACAATTCGATTTCTCTGGGACAGGGTCAAGGACCCGTGGCCGAAGGGCACATACGAAAGGGCGTCGTGGAGGGCAGATGGGTGTTTCTGCAAAATTGTCATTTAGCTGCGTCGTGGATGATCAATATGGAACAAATCATTATGGAAATCAGCGAGGAACAAGAGGGCCAGATTCATAGCGATTTTAGGCTGTTCCTGAGCTCGATGCCGAGTGTCAGCTTTCCGGTTTCCGTTCTTCAGAACGCGGTGAAGGTGACCAACGAACCACCGAAAGGTCTAAAGGCGAACATAAAGAGAGCACTTTACGACTTCGACGAAGAATTCTTCGAGGAACACCGTGAGAGAAAGAAAAGACGATATGTATACGCACCGTTCTACACGTTTTTCTTTCAGATTTAAACGGGAAGTGGCGGAAGATCATATTCGGAGTTTGTTTCTTTCACGCGATTATTCAGGAACGCAAAAAGTTTGGCCCGCTGGGTTGGAATATTCTTTACGAATTCAACGACAGCGACAGAGAGTGCTGCTTACTGAACCTGAAACTGTTTTGCGTACACGAGCATATACCTTGGAATGCGTTAATATACACTACAGGCGAAATCACTTACGGCGGCAGAGTCACGGACACCTGGGACCTGAGGTGTATGAAAACCATATTAGATATATTCTTCTCACCTAAAACCCTGAAAGACGGTAAGACATTTTGTTTCCTTCGAAATTCGAAGGAAATTCTAATAAATGTTTGGTACGTCTTGTTTCAGATTACCTTTATTCGCGGTCCGGAAAATACTATTGTCCAAACTTCAAAACTCTGAGGGAGTATAGAGATTTCGTGGAGAACTTCTCCATAATCGATGATCCGGAAATCTTCCAGATGCACGAGAACGCAAACCAAATTTATCAAGTAATCGAGAATCATGCTCGAGCTCGAAGTATTTTTATAGAGACTTATTGTTTAGCCAGTCGACTAAAACCACGCTAACTAATTATGGTTAATAGTTAAAAGAGGCGCAATTCGTAATAAATACCATTTTGGAAGTACAACCAAAAGAATCTGCATCCGAAGAAGGGAAATCCAGCTCGGATATAGCGTACGAGATTGCGGACACGATTCTGGTTCGGATTCAACTTGAAATAGATTCTACAAAGTGTAATCCCAAACACTTGGTAGTAAGTAGAATATTTCTATCTCGTTCGACACGACAACTATCAATCATCTATGGAAATATTATAATTATAATATAATTATAATAAAATATATATAATAATTATTATAATAATAATATATATAATAATAATTATTATAATTATAAGTGGAAATATTAAAATCTTTGTTTCATGACACAGAGAGACTCAAAAGGACGACTTCCGTCGATGACTACCGTCCTCGTTCACGAAGTTGATAGGTACAATACGCTGCTGAAGAAAATACGCGTGTCGATCGAAAACCTGCAACGAGCCATTAAAGGGTTCGTCGTTATGTCAGAAGAATTAGAAAATGTCTTCATTGCTCTCATCAATAATCAGGTTTCATCCTCGTAAATTTCGTTTGTCTTAGTCAACATTTTACAATATCAGCATCAGTATTCTTATTAAAATTAGGTACCGCAAATGTGGCATAACATGAATGTCTATCCATCCTTGAAATCCTTGGGAAGCTGGATAAGAAACTTAGAACTGAGGATTGATTTTATTGAAGTACGTATGCCTCTGTCGAAAAAAAATGATAAAACTATAACATCATATTTCCAAATAGAGAAATTTTGTACATTTAAAGTATACCGATAATTTAGTCATCTTTTTTTTTCCTATTCAAGATTTGGTTGACTCAACAAAAACCCGTTTCTTTCTGGATTTCCGGCTTATCGTTTCCACAAGGATTTTTAACGGGTATGCTGCAGACATGTGCAAGAAAGTATAACACACCTATCGATCATCTCAAACTGGATTTCATTCCCACCAAAATCGTTCTCGATCAAGCCGAAATTGAAGAGGAACATAAAAAATCTGGAAAAGAGGTTGAGTTGATAGAAATATACTTCGAATAGTACTCTTATCGAAGCAATGATTTCTTTAGGGGGAGTCATCGTACAAAGGCTTGCAAGTACCAGAGGATGGTGTACTAATTCACGGACTCTACATTGACGCTGGTAGATGGGATTTTAACTCTATGCTTCTAGTAGACGCGAACATAGGTAATCCACCGGTTTGTTTTAAGCAGAAAACTTTCAATTATGCAAAGTATATGCATTTCAGGCGAGATGCACCCAAATCTTCCAGTTTTACATATAAATCCGATACTAGAGTTACCAAAGGATGATCCAAGATATGTTTGTCCACTGTATAAAACAGCTGTACGTGCAGGCGTATTATCTACAACAGGGCACAGCACAAATTTTGTTGTTGCAACGTTGCTTCCATCCGCAGAGGAACAGGCGTATTGGATTTTGAAAGGAACAGCTCTTTTAGTTGAGATAATTGATTAAGTTTTCCATAGCTCGAGCAATGCAATTTTCATTTTAATATGTATTCTTGAATGTAAAACTGCCAAAAAAATATTATATTACAAACGCGTTTAGAACTTAAATATATTGAACACAAAAGCTGTGATGGTAAGGCAGATATTATAAGTAAAGATCAAAATAATTCTTCTTGCTTTCTTCTGACTAGAGTGGCATGATAATTACAATCTTTGTCGTCAATGTTCCACATTAACACCATGTAGACAGATAATACCGAAGCTAACAATATTCTGTCTATTCTGTAAAAGAAAAAGAACGAAAAGAATTAAATACTTAATTATAATACAATGATAATTCTTTTTAAACATATCTTACGTCATATAAGGATGTATCCATAGAATAATAAGAAAACCTATCAAACTAGGATGTCTCATGTGAGAATAAAAGTGTCGCAATTCTTTGGATTTCGTTAACATGGGACTTGGTCTGGACGAAAATTTATAATACACTTGCTTCACTCCAGTAAGTTCAGATATATCCATCATTAAACAACCGCTATAAATTATTGACCAAGCCAGAACATGGAGACTGGTAAATATGTACCATGAAATATCATTGAAAGATGTATCGATTTTCCACCATGAAATTGATGATACGATTTGCCATTGATTAAGTAGCAAATGTAGAGTCATGGCACTGGCGATATTGTATATACTTCTTTCCATATAATCCATATGCAATTTACAAAACAAATGTTTTACAAAATCACTAGCCATAATCGAATGTTGTAACATAAAGACATTTAACAACGACATGTTTACAAGTAACAACCATAATACCGAATCAACAGAGTCATCTGTAATAGAAATAATTATGAGATAAACTCTTGGCAAAATATGCTGTAAAACGATAATTACACAAATCAAATAATGTTTATTAAATTATTAGAACCCGCATCTAAGCATGATTACTGTTTACCTTTTTTCTGTGACACATTTCTGTTGTCATTTTCATTGTGACTTGATAAAAAGTAGGACAATTTACATAAAATGTAAGAAGTGTATAAAAAGCACCCAGCACACGTTATCACGCTGACACATTTCAGGATCATATTTGTGGACGTACAAAAACTGTAAATGTATAACTTGTACAACAAAATAAAATTTAATCCAATCACTATTATTAGCACTATAATTTAAAATTACTCTACATTTTAATTGTAATATCGACAACAAATCTGTACGATTCGAAATATGTTGAATCGTGTTGATTAATGAGTCATGTTGAAAGAATCTTATAATTGTTTACAAGTGTTTATTTACAGCTTTCCGAGTCATTAAATACAAATGAACTAGATCGGAATGTTCGGTGAAATTCTTACACGAATCATCGAGTATTTTGGCGCGAAATCGTATCGTTTCAAAATTTTTGTCAAATTAAACTTGTAACAATCTTTGAGCGATATCTCAGGAGGATAAAACTATTTCCGAATACTTCCATACGCTGCAACATTAGAATTTTTAATCGATAATTAATAGGTTTACTTTGTTATGTCGTTTAGTAACGATTCTGTAAATGTTGGCGAGCTAGTGCGATCTTGTAGTTTGGTCAATGCCTGTCAAAAGGAATTGTCATCTATGACCGTGCGGTGTTTCGCGTTATTCGTTTCATTGGTTTGGAATGCAACTTTCCATTAAAAGGAGAGTTCAGGTTAATTTTCAATCTTGCGGTTTGGATATTTGTGCATCGGCTAGCTGGCTTTTAAAGAAACTCGGCTTTTACCTGTCAATACCTAACATGTGAGTAATCGAAACGCGTGTGTGAATGACGCATAAGCATTTAACAGAGAACAAGAAAGTGTATGGCAGAACGTTTTGCAATACTGCAACGAAACTATTTATCATGATAAGTATATTTTAAGTATTGCACAACAATATCACAATATATTTATACGGAAAAATATTTGAAAACTTTATTACGAACCTGTCATTCTGTTAAACATTTTTACGTGATGTTTCTATTTGTAAAAACGTTTGACAGAAAATGCTACAGTATACAATTTCTGAAGTGATGGAAACTTCTACATGTTCAATTTAATTTTTATTGCATAATCTTAGTGTCAGTTAAATATTTCTACGTCCAATGAACCCAATAACATTCATGTCTTTAAAGAAATCATACATGATTATAATGAAACATTTAATAACGTCTAATGATGTTTTTATTTTAGTTGGAACTCGATAGAATTCTATATAGAGCAATAAATTTTTCCTTGGCCATTCGTTTCAGTAAATTAAATACAAATCTCTTTACTATTTATAAAAATGTCTCCAATTTAATTACTTAAGAGGAAAATAGTTGAGAATTTTAAACTTGTATTCAATCTTTACAGCTGGTCCAAGATGTCAAATCATGCAGATCACTCGAATTATTTGCAAGATAGCAGTAGCGACGCAGAAACAGACAAAGAAACAGATGATAGAGGACGACATCGTATTTATGGGAATAGAATGAGGTACACTGTCTTTTTCGTACAGAAAATACAAGCAATTATATTTCTCGATATAGAACAAAGCAAGGAGAAACAGCGTACCTTGATTAAGAATATACAATATATTAGTAGTTTAATTTTTTGTCTCTATGATAAAAACGTTATTATAAGCTCATCTTAGATGAACGATAACATAATTGTTTTATCCACAATTTATAACTCCTTTTAAAATTCTACTTCGGTAACTATATGTTTATATCGTAGCATGTATTTAAGGCTGTTGTCATACATTATGTTACATGCATGAAATTAATTTTTTAATTAAGAACAAATATTCTTTTCTCACATATATCTTGAATATTAGATTAGATGGAAATCGATATATCGAGGAATGATTTACTCGACATTCATCCAGCATTTTACATTATTCGATACAAGTTCCTGTACTTTCTTTAACATCTTGCAATCGTAGACTTGTGTTACTCATTTTGTGTATGCTTTCCGTGCAGTTACTTACTTTTAGTTGTCTTTTCGTTGGACTCGTTTATTAAAAGAAGCAAACAATGTTGTCACTGTATAATACAAGGAGCATACTTAGCATAATCGATTCTATATCCAACAGAAAATGAAAGCAATGTTCTCATAAATAAATTTCATGTACATACACGATTCTCGATTCAAACTAGTTATCGTATTAGAATTGTAGATAATACACGATGCTTGTCGAATGCAGTCATTAGAAAGGTAATGTCGTTGTTTTGCATGTAGTTGTGGTGGCTCTTCCAAACCAAAATCTTGTCTGGTTCAAAGAGATGGAAGCAATGAAAGGCACTGTCATTCCTTCAATTCTGGCAGGCAAAATACAAATATTAATCATCAAAACAGGTAATAACTGCAGACAAAACAAACATAGGTTTTTGTACCATCATTTTGATCAGGTACACGAACGCTTTCTATTAGTGACCGATAGTATAAATTGTTTCCATAGATTGTATAACCGAAACAAAGTCCGGGCATCGATATCCGAGAGGTAGGTGTTGTTTAGAAATTCATTCAACACTTGTGCATCGCTTCCACGTGTTTTATTAGCAGAAACTTTCTGTTTGGTGCGGCCGTTAATATTAAGTATACTCGAATAGTTGCTAAAATTCTGCTTTGCTTCAGACTTTGTACCGGGGTTGCCGTTGGAAAAACTCAACAAAATCAATGTAGGGACAATTTGCCGTCGTCGGCGTCTATTATCGGTGTAAATAATCCACCAGCTAGCGATGATCGCATTACTCTTATTGTGGATAATACTGTGTAAGTATTATATGTACATCTTATATTTATACGTATATGTTACGTTAATTTGTATAACGAATTGTAGCAACATGGAACAATGTATTCATTTCAGATTTATCGTTGACCGCGCCTTGTTCACCGCACATCCAAATACAATGTTGGGAAGAATGTTTAGTTCTGGCGTAGAATATGCTCAACCAAATGAACGCGGTGAATACCAAGTTGCGGAAGGCGTATCTGCCATGGTGTTTAGAGCTATTCTTGATTATTATAAAGGTGGAATAATACGTTGTCCACCGTCAGTCGCGGTTCAAGATTTGCGGGAGGCATGCGACTATCTTCTTGTTCCTTTCGATGCTAGCACAGTGAAATGCCAAAATTTGAGTAAGTGCACGGTTCTCGTTCTGAGTAAAGCAAATTTAAAAAAATATGGAAAACACTATAATATTCCAAATAAATAATTGGGTTTCTACTTTCTATTATATCACTGTTCAACGCGATATTGAATTTGTACAATAATATCGTCGTCCAAATGATCCTTACCAACAGAGTATCGAATAGCGTTTGTTACCAATTGAAATTCTTTCAAAGTTGTTTTGATATTCTTTCTAGAAAGTATAGGATAATGAGATCAGAAAAATCTTTTCATCGGTTGGACAGTGTATTCAGCGTTCGATTACGGACAATACGTAATCGTTAGAAGGCTACTCCGCAGCTCGCGTTAAACGACAGGAGACTAGAAACTAAACAATTGATTATAGGAGGGTTATTACATGAGTTGTCTAACGAAGGCGCGCGCTGCCAGTTCGAAGTGTTCCTCGAGGACTTGATGTTGCCCCTGATGGTAAACAGTGCGCGTAGAGGTGACCGTGAATGCCATATCGTCGTTTTACTGGAAGACGATACCGTCGACTGGGACGAAGAATATCCCCCGCAAATGGGAGAGGAGTACTCGCAAAGTAAGTGCGCGAACGGTAACTTTATTTTTATTACTTTCTCATTTTTTCGCGACACCAAGGTTGGAAATACACTACCTTGCCACGGTATGATGAATATTCCTATAAAATAGAAAATCAATAACCACATCGACCGTGTTGTTTGCAACACTTCCGACCATATTAAATCCGCCGAGACGCAATTTCACCGTGTCAAATCCACCGATTCTGTCAGAACGATTGGAAAGATGAGATGCACGCGAAAATACATGGCTTTTTCGTTTCTAAAACATTCACAAGACAATGTAAACGCACGGTCGAAACAAAACGGTTCTCTGACAGTAAAAGTCGACCAAAGTATTTTTTTTTACTTTCCAATAGCCGTCAACAGCACCGCGATGTATCGGTTTTTCAAGTACATCGAGAACAGGGATGTGGCCAAGCAGGTGATGAAGGAACGCTGCCTGAAAAAGATCCGCTTGGGCATCGAAGGCTATCCTACCTACAAGGAGAAAGTGAAGACAAGAGCGGGAGGACGGTCCGAGGTGATTTACAATTACGTGCAGAGGCCTTTCATTCACATGTCCTGGGAGAAGGAGGAGGCGAAAAGTCGACACGTCGACTTCCAGTGCCTAAAATCGAAATCCGTAACGAACCTTGCGGAAGCCACTGCCGACCCGGTGCTAGACGCCGGGGCAAATCCTATAGGAATGGGTCTGTTGCAGTCTACGGAACCAACCACTCAACCGGAAGTAGTGATGCCCGCCGGCCCAGAGGCGGACGCCGAAGGCGCCGTAGGATTACCGGCCGAGCAGGATCTCGGCCAAATGGCAGCCGACGATTTACTATGAAATGTTATCAAACGTTCGAATTTTCGAATGTCGAAATTTCGAATTTTCGAATGTTCTCGGCCGAACAAACTACAGAACTCAGCGAGCGTTTATGGACCGCTTCACTTCTCGCGTCAATTTCAAGCTTCAAATCCAAAGTTGATTTTCCAAAGAGGACGCTTCGCGGTGGTTTCCATATTTTTCTAAAGCAACCAACGCACGTTAGCCGAATAATGTTGCGCTTAGCGCGCGATGCAGTCTTTTTGAACAAAGGCTTAGAGAAAAGTGAGGCGAGTCGTGTTCTCTCGATTTTCGACTCTTTGCCAGTCGGAGAACAATGAAGGTCGCGTCGAGAGAAACGAGATCGCTTCTCGTGGATGGTCGTCTAGTATATCTTGTGATAGTCCTTGTACCTAGCGTTCAAATTAATTTAACAACAAACGTTGCGACCTTTTTCAATTTTCTATGTGACATTCAACGTTTCTTACAACTATTACAAATGTGTCAAACGCGAAGATAATGGATTCGTTCGGTATGTATTTGCTGCGACGAGCACTCTCCCGTTTTATACAATTAATAAAGTTGAATACCGTTTCCGAGTCTACGCTGTCTGGTTGATTCCTCATTTCATCGTAGCATTCATCCGTAGCTCGTGCACGATCGATTAAACGATCAAACATAACTGCACGGTTAATGATCGTGATCGTTCATTCGATTCAATTTTTCAGAAACAACCTAATAAACCTGTCAACGTTAAAAACATTGCGTCTATACATGTATATATCATGGGAATGTTGCGTTAACTTTGTCGCATGGACATTCACGGGGCTGAAAATCGCGCTAGTTCAAACGACTGGCCATTATCTTACCAAGAATATCGATCTTTCCGAAATTCTTCGACGCTCGGTTAACTCGAAGAAATCGCAAATTTCTCCGAAGGTGCCCCTCTCGAATCGGTAGTCTTGACTCGATAACGTCACCCGTCGACTATCGTTCCCAAAAAATGTCCAAGATCGAAAGTACGAAGTCGGCTGCCTACACCTGCGGTACCTAGAAAACGGTATTTAGAAAATTTCGATCTTGGCGTTGTTCCGGTAAGCAGCTTCGACAGTTCTCTCCGCGTATAATTCTGCGAGTTTCGTTTTCCGAAATCGTTGAATATTTTAGAGACGAATTTGTTCGTGTTCGTCGGTAAATGCCAGAGAAGAGGAGGTCAGGGCACAGAGTGTGCGGGTGGCGCGCGAGAGCCGAGTCGAGTCGAACCGTGGACGCGTCGAAGAGGGTTGAGAGAGGGTGC